AATAGTTCTGGCATGCTCTTTGGTGGTCGCTTCATTACTGAAAAAAGAAATATGGATGAGCAAAGGCCTCCCAAGAAGGCGATCATCGTTACTTTGTCGTCAGGCTCATCAACTTGGAGTACGTCCTCATTAAAACGAGTGAGGTAGTTCCTCAAGCTTTTCTCCCGGTCCTTCTTTATGCTAAGCAGATGGGTGACAGGCTTCTGGTGGTGATGCCACCCAATGAAATGCGATATGAATGACCTGCTCAACTCAGCAAAGGAGGCGATAGAGGTTAGGGGGAGCTTAGCGAACCATTGTCATGCAGACCCCTTCAATGTGGTTGGGAACGCCTTGCACATGATTTTGTCTAGGACGTTGTGCAGCTGCATCAGAGTCTTGTAGGTGTCGAGGTGGTCTAATGGATCTTTTGTTCCGTCAAAGGTCTCCACGGAGGACAGTTTGAACTTTTGAGGGAGGGAGTAGTTCGCCACGTCAAATTTTAAAGGCGTGTATGTCCGCCTTACGAGGTAGTCCACTGTCTCGGGTTCTTACGCTTTCATGGCGTTGAAGACGTCACCTAGTTGATTTTGTACTTCCTTAATTTTCTCGTCCTAATGATTAGGGGTTCCTCTAGAATGATCATGGAAATGACTCTCATGCTCCATGCTTTGGTTTTCATTATCATCTTCTTGGAGATGAGGGTCTTCACCATTGGAAATAAGAGCTGAAGGTCTCTCATGATGGGCTACCCTGTGTGGGGCGCCCAGACCTGCATGGGTGCCCAAATGGGGAGTAGCAAGTTGTGGAGCTCCTTGATGTCCAGGGCGTGCAGCTCCTTGATGTCCAGGGCGCGCAGCTCCTTGATGCACAACGAGCATGGGTTGCAGGATCTATTGATTTTAGGCCACTAGTTGCTGCATGGTCTCCAACATTTGCTAAGAATTTGGAACTGGAGCATTTGGGACAGGGTTGGTAAGTGAAGGAGCAACCTCCTCCTCTCGTTGTGGATTATCCTCAAGTTGATTCATGGATCTAGTGGTGATCGCCATAGGTTCAACAGAGGGAGTGTTTAAAAGTGAGAATTTAGTCGTTCTCACAGACGGCGTCAAACTGATGATGCACAAAATAGTTTTGTACACCACCTGTCCAGTGTGAGTAATAAATGCAGTAAAAGTAAAGAGAAAATTGGAGGAGACAAGATTTATAGTGGTTCGTTCAACATGACATACATCCACTCTTGAATGACTCTGGTTGCCGGGTATTTTATTAACTCAAGGGTGTGGGGAGCAAAGAGTACAAGCTTTGAGGGAGAAGAAAGAGTCGTGCTCAGGTAAAGTATGATCTGCCCCCGAAGTGTTGGTGGGGCTTACAATTTATAGTCGCCCTCCTAACAGATTTGGGGAAGATATTAGTAAGTAGTTGGCTAGTTTGTTGGATCTGGCGAGCTTTTCTCAACATGCTAGGCAATTGTGGTGCTCTCCATGAGATTTGGTCAAATGATGAGGTGGGGTGTTGACCATCTCCAGGGCAGCAAAGATAAGGCTTTAGATAACCTTACTTGCTCCCTTAGCTCCTTGAGCTGTTGAGCTTGACCGGGCTAATTACACTGATGAGCTTAACCGGGTTGGCCACACTAGGTTGGATTCGCTGGATCTCTTGAAGTCAGACTATAAACTTGAACTGGGCTTATAACATGAGTTAGGCCTTTGGGCTTGGCCCATCAGATATATTAACCGATAAATATAAAAAAATTCAAATCCTAAAATTAGTCATTTTTCAATTATTGTTTCCTTTATACTACTATTCACGTTCTCAATTTCCTAAATAAACTTCGAACCACTGAGTTATTATTATAGTTTGACCATCTGTATTTGGGTGTACCGTCAGAGTTCAAGTAACTAATAGTAAAATTAACTTTTGTTCTACTATACACATGAAACCCATTTCAGCAAACAAGAACTTTGAGAACGAACATGTTCTCCTTCGGGCTCGAGCTGACTGGCCAAGGACATTACCGAGTAGGTCAAGAAAAAAATTTAGTGGTTTTAACACACCAAGTGACGGTGTTTGATGGTGTGCGCACCCAATAAAAGATTGTTACAAGACGCACTAGTTAGTTCCCTTAAAAAAAAAAAATTCTAAGAATGCATAACATTTCATTAGTCATGTACATCACCTACTTAAAAATTTTCTCATAGTTCAAATATAATGGCTCTAAATACCACGAGAGTTCTTTACTTGTTCTAGACGTTCCAAATTCAAGTATTAAGATAAAGTAATACTATTGAAATCTAAAAAAAAACTGATCTAATTTGTTAACTTAAACATGTGTCAAGTGATGAAGTCTCAATGAAGAAGTCCGAGAGTTAAAGCCAGTGTTATCAGAACCGGACCGGTTCTACCATGAACCGGGACCCTAACCGGTTCGGTTCTTTAGTTGAACCGCTTAAAGAAGCGAACTAGTTAAATACCAAAAAATCGGCCGATTTTTAACAAAAATCGTGAACTGCCATTTTTATAAAAATCAGACGGTTTAATGCCTATTTAAAAATTAAATTAAATAAATAAATTTTTTGCCTTAAATCAGTAAATATCTAAATTTTTTTAACCTTATTCTTAGATAAATTATAAATGACACCCCTTCTTTTTCTTTATAATTTACTTGAACCTCTTTACTACTTGCTTTAAAATACAATAACCCCCACTTTGTTACTTAATTTCATTATTTTATGGCAAATTTTATGTATTTTATACATATTTTATATTTTTTAGCTAAATTATTAAGTTTTATAATTATTATATATATTTTTTTATTTTTTTATTATATGACCGGTCCGACCAGTTGACCCAACGGTTGAACCAGTGAACCATTGACCCGGTCCCCTTGTCGGTTCGATGACCGGTCCGATTCTGATAACATTGGTTAAAGCCACAACAACCTATTGTACCATTTCACTGTCATATCATTACTTCAACAAATGAGATCAATTTTTTATGTCTTAAAAACATTATTCTTTAGGTAATGACCCTAAAAAGAGTTTATTCTTAAAAAGAAATTAGAGGAAGAGTTATAGTCTTCTACATATAGGGCTCGTTTGGTTTCCATATTAAAAATGGATGGATTGAATAAAGTAATACAGTCTAACATAATTAAGGTGGATAAAAAATAAGATTAAATATGATATTAAAATAATACGTAATTTTATCTTGTGTTTGACACAATATAAACATTGGATAGTTGTTATTTAATTCAATTGATTGTTTAATTAAAGAATTATTTTATCGTATTAATGTTAAATTAACAAAAATACTCTCGATCAATATTTGTTACATTGATGATAGTTTGATTTTATCACTTGGGGAGTTCTCATAATAAATGTTTGAAATAATACATTTGGCTCTAATTATAATACATCTCTTGGTGGTATTAAAATACCTCCATAATACAAATCTATCGTATAAAAAATATATGACATGTACGATTAATATACGTTTTTGAAATGAATATAGTATCAAATTTGCTTATCAAACAAAATATTAGGCCCGATTAAATAAAAAATAGTATAATCTAATATTTAATTCCTTTATAATACGTCTATCAAATGAGCCCATATGGTATATGGTGTACCTACTATTTCACATATGCAATTGGATACGTATTTGTTAAGGCATAGCTTTGAATCCAATTCATATAGGATTCAAACTCCCATCGCAATCCAGTTAGATAAATAAATTAGACAAACTCACAGTTATCTAATTTTTCATTTAACTTATGATGGATCATATCCAAACTTGATTTAGATACCATGGGTTGGAAATAAACCTGATTCAAATACCAATATTATGTCTCAAGATTCAGGAATCAGTAATGCTAGACACACCAAATCCTTCGTCAAAATTCTTACACCATATCAATGCAACTCCCGCCAACTATTCAACGAATAAGATTGTACTTGATCATTTAGTACAAATATTTTGATGCAAAATTGTTGTACACAAAACATTACTCTTCTGTTGTTATCCAATGGGCACGATATGACATTAGCTAACCTTACCAGCATCAAAGGAACTATTCATCCCTCATCTTCGAAACTACTTCCTGCGTATTCTTCATTCATGACCAATAGATCCACAATAGATACAGATATTAGGAACTCTCTCACATCGAAGCCAAATTCTCCTGTCTCTGTTTTTCCAGCCGAAACTTGGTCCCATCTCTAACTTAGAGCTTATATTGACAACCATGATTTTATCAGTTCCTCCAAAACCATGATTTTATCAGTTCCTCCAAAACCATATGCTATATTACAATCAACATCAATGGTACTTATTTATCCCAGCAAGAAAACAACAACAAATGGTAATGAGTTTCACAGGAAACCATCCAACCTGAATCAATATATGGTGGCCAGGAAAAGTCCATTTTCTTTAGGTTTATTCAGCCAACCAACTACTATTAGTTGGTTATTATACAACTACGGACATTCTTTCCAAACTCTCATAAGATCATATTCCAAACTGAACAAGAATTGATTATAGCACACTGCAATCACTATCAAATTTTAAGGATGCCTCCAGACCAAAGAAAAAAATCAGCCGTAGATCTTTGATACTCACAGTTTCATTCGTGATTTTCATGTCAATCCAACTCAGTTTACATTCCTCGACACCTATTCTTGTAAAGAGAGAGAGTAGTTTTATTGTTGTACCGTCCAATAACATACAAGCATACTGTCACAGATGTAAGACAGCTACGAAGCTCTCATGGTTATAAATAGAAAGTGAAAGACAAAAAATTCCAGAACTTCCATGAGCATTGCTTGTTTCAGCCATTTTGCGCGGGGCATACTAAACCCACTACGCACCACACCACCAGGAGGCTGGCCTAAATACTGAGTCTCTCTTTGCCATTAACTCGTCGTCACCTGCAAAATAATGCCAAAAACTTGACTTTACTAAACAAACAAAAAAAAAAGGCCCTTTCTATATTATTAGTAAAGCTCAATAGGGTTTCACACCTTCCTCATGAGGAGAAACAACTTCTGGTCAAGATCAAACTTAGCTGCAATGGAAGGCTCCCCCCTTAGCATCATCAGAAGCCCACCATATGAAACATATATGTCCCTGAGTTCAACAAGAATAAACCACATTAACAGAGTTGATGAAAAGAGAAAGTTTAGATAGCCACCTAGAATTGGATAATACAACTGTACACTTTCATCACTTAGCATTATACACCATTAGATGCACCAAGAAGATTAGCTAAACCAAAAGAAAAGTAGGCCTTCATTACTTTCCAGTCACATAGCCAAGGAAGTTTTGAAGCCCCCTAACCCAAAGAGAGGGAACAAAGTTGAAGTGTGTAATTTACCCAATTACACAAGCATGCATGTGATCAGATGAATGTATAAAAAGCTTGCATACTTACGCTTTAACCCTGGGTCCTTCACCTTCTTCTGATATCTTATATAACTTTCCGTGCATGACGTATTCAAATTTATCAACAAGTGATGTCCGGCCACCCTGAAATTATGTTACCACTTAGAACAGAAAAATTATAATTTGAGGATCATTGAACTCCAAAATCATCACCCATAAAATATTTCAAGGTTGAACACAACAAGATTGTTACCTGAGAGATAAAACTAGTTTACACCAATGTTATTAAACCCGGCCAGATCTAGTGGGTTGACCGGAGTGAGTAAAACTGGTGGCCCATTCAACTGGTGCCAAGATCGAGCTAGTTTAATAGTTGGATGGTTTGTGTAGGAAAATTGTTCAAGAGCCGATCGGTTTATACCAACCTAGGAAGCACAGACACGGACACGAGAATACGATAAAGTTCCAAAATATAGGATACGGGTACAGCAAAGATATGGCTAATTAAAATAATATTATATATTTTTTATATAAATAACATTAATAATTAGACATAAAAATCATTGAGTAGTTAGTTAATATCTTACAAATAGGTAATAGGATAATATTAAATTGGGCAGTGAGCTAATATGTTAGAATTGGGCAGTGGGCTAACACCAAATTGGGTTGTGGGTTAACACAAAAGTGAGTTATGTGTTAATTTATTTGACAACTAATAGATAAATTATACCAAAAAAAAAATATTAATAAGGGTATTAATGTAATTTATATAAATATTATTAAGGGTATTAACTACCGACAACTCGCAATCTCCGTTCAGTCAAGAGAGAGAGAAAGAAAAAGAAAAAAAACAGCAAGGGCACAACAACTCACGATCTCAGGAAGTAGAATGAGAGAGGAAAAAGGAAAGGAGAACAGAAGGAAGAAAGTTTGAAGTAGATCTGAATCTGATCGTTGAAGCAGATTCAAAACTGAACGTTGAAACAGATCTGGTATGTCCCTTCGCCTCTTTTTGTCTGTTCTGTCGATCTGGTTTTCTTATCTTCACCTCTTCTTCTCTCTACTAAAGATCTGGTTTTCTTCTCTCTTTTCTATTTATATTTGAAAAGCTACTCTATTTTTTTTGTAGCCCCTTATTCCCCCATATCTCCAACGTATCCGGCTTCAAAAAATTATTGTTCATTGTTCAAGACACATGTAGAAGTGTCGAACATATGTCTGACACCGCCACGTCAACCTCCGGCGAAGTGTCCGTGCTTCCTAAATACCAACCAATAAAAACCAGCCGGTTATTGAAACCCAAATGGGTCGTGGATCTACTTTAAAATGGTACTCTCTGAATTAAAGTTTTTTGCCCTAAAATCTCCCATAAGTTTTATTTCTCTCCATCTGTCTCTCAAGGCATCGCTTAGTGGTAAGCATGCCTCCACCATCTTCCTTCTGAAATCACAGATGATAGACCTTTGGTCTATTTTTCGATAAACCCATTTAAGTTCATAGGTTTTGCAACATATCTTTGGCGTATCAGACATGACATGGGCAACCAACTGCCATTTTCCTTTAGCTTCAACCCTCTTGAACCACAAGAATGTAGATTTTCCCGGTCTCCCTAATTTCCTTATAACGGGGATGATGCGGGTATTTTCTACCTTTGCCATTACCAAACTTGCACAATCCACGGCATAGCCAAATTGACACCAGATGCCACATTCAAATTGAGAAGAATATGTTGTTATTTGATCACGTAATATTGGAAATGATTTAGTTGTAGAGTTTGAACACAATTGATTAATTAATTTTTTATGTCACATTCAGATTAAGAAGAATGTGTTTTTATTTGATCATGTAATAATGGAAATGATCTAGAAAGCACAGACACTTCGCCGGAGGTCAACGTATTGATGTCAGACACGTGTCCGATTCTTCTGAACAGTGAACAATGATTGAAGCTTGGATGTGGGGGATACGGGGCTAGAAAAAAAAAAGGATAGGTCGTTGATCGAACAGAGTAGAGAAGAAGAGAGAAAGGGAGAAGGAGAGGTGAAGAGACATATCAAATTTGTGTCAACGATCAGCTTCCGATCTACTCCAAGCCTTCTTCCTTCTTTCCTTCTCTTCTTGAGATCTTGAGTTAGTGCCCTAGCTACACTCTTCTTGAGACGGTGCCCTAGTTGCACTCATTTATTTTTCTTTTCTTTTCTCTCTCTCGACTGAATAGAGAAACGACATTCTTTTGTTAATATTTCTCTTTTTTTGATATAATTTATTTGCTAGTTGTCAAATAAATTAATCCACATCACACTTTTGAGTTTGCCCATAACCGAATTTGGTGTCAACCCACTATCCAATTCCAACATATTAACCTAGTGCCCAATTTAATATTAGCCTATAACCCAATTGTAAGATATTAATGAACTACTCAATGATTTTTAAATCTTATTATTAATGTTATTTATATAAAAAATATATAATATTATTTTAATTAGTCGTATCCTTACCATATCCGTGTTCTATATTTTGAAACTTTGTCGTACCCCCACATCCGTATCATATTGGATACGACACCCGAATCCGTATCGTATCGGATACGACACTTATGTCTATATCCGTACTTCCTAGAAAATGATTTAGTTATAGAGTTTGAACACAACTGATTAATTAATTTTTGTTGGGGTTGTCATTAAGCATGCTATTTTCTAACTTCATTAAGTTTTACGATAATAAATATTATTTGTAATTAAATTTAATTTTTATTATATAACCGGTCCAAAGAGTTGACCAAACAGTTTGACCAATTGACTCGTTCCCTTTGCACAGTCAATGTCCAAGTGGGGTCTAATCACCATGTCAACTCCTCAGCAATTCCTAAAGCGTTTGGCGCATGCTAATCTGTATAAAAGCTTCCTTGGTGTATGCACACATTGTAGTAGGCATAAAAGGGCAGTTTACTACTAAATGTGTAAAGAGAATCACTAAGTTGTCTGATGAGTAGAAATTATGACCCTTCTACAAAGCTCCATACTATAACTACTCCGAAGTCCAAAGACCTGATTGATGACTAAGTGGCAGGAATCTCCCATCACCTATCAATTTGAAGGGCAATTGCAACATCGGTTGCACTACACATGAAATGATAGATACAAAGTTGGACAAGACGAGAATCATAATGTGATATCACGCAACGGTATGAAAAGTATGTTACAACTCAACGAGGATGACTGCCAAGTCATTTGTAATGTCTATGAGTTAATCGCGAGTTAACTCAGACTCATGGTTTACACACAACATGCACTGTCCGTGGAATAGAAATTGCTAAGTCATATGTGACTAGGTCTATTCTTTGAACACTGCAACAATGACCCTTAAAGAAGAATCTAGCAAACCTACCTAAAATTTTTGTAGCAATTACTCACAACAAAATAACATTAAACATTAAGCACGCCAACCTCATGAAGATACCAAAACATTAATCAAAACATCTTCCTTTCTATAGGCAATGATGCATTAAACATTAGGCACACACACCTAAAGAAGGCACATAACGCATGGCAAATTATCTCCATCCCCTAAAGTAAGTGGTGAACGTCTCTGAAGATATGATAATATGATTTGACAAGATCACCCAAATCAACTTTTGATCCTTATGTATCTCTTGGATTCTTGTTTATCTTAATGAGATCTAATTGTAGTTTCACCCTATATATGGGGTGTAGTTTACTTGTTCCAAGTACCAAGAATTAATGAAATATATAGCCTATTAGGTGTTGGTTTGTGGATGACACTATGTACAAAACCCTGTAAATCTCTCGAGTTCTTTCTTGATGTTTACTTTTATGTTAAAATTCAATATGGTATCAGAGCGGGTCATTCAAACCTTGCTTAATCTTGATTTTGTTTTCGTATTTTGACGACATTCATTCCGAGCTTATGTTTCTAGTATTTGCACGATAAATCATTTCATGCATACAATAATTTTCGGGTGATTGCTATCAGCTTCACTCATTTAAGAGGAAGGTGTTCACCTCTTTGTTCAAGTCATTCAAGTGATTGTTATCAACTTCACCAATTTCAACAAGGTGGTTATCAGGTTTATCAAAATCATTTTAAGGTCATTCCATCTTCAAGTTCATGTTAGACATTGCCCTTCAACATTTTCGTGTCCAACTTGAGGGGGAGTGTTAAAGATAAGCCATTTGACACAACTACAACATCGTTTAAATTGCAGGACAACTTTTGGCTTAAATAGAAACAAAAGTACTCTAGAGAATGTGTTCCACCTAGGCAAAACCAAGATAAGACGTTGCAAGTGAATCCTGAGATGGAAAATTTTAGTGGCATTTATCAATAACATCAGCAAAAAAACCAATCTAATAAGGAGTTCAAAATAATTATGTTCTATGTTCAATCATCATTAATAAACCCCACCCTTATTCGATTGAGGCAGTTGTAGCACAATCGGTAAAGTATTAAAATATCATTTCCAGGGAGGGGTTAAGAAGGAAGGGTTAGGGGTTCAAAAATCATACCTAGCCAATCCTCCCTCCCCTCCCCACCCCCAAAAAAAACTTTTTCAACCCGCAAAGAGAGAGAGAGGAGAGAGAGAGTGTGTGCATAAGAACAATTTACCTTGCTATACTAATAAAACTACCTGAGTATAATAACCAGAGTCGGGTGTTCCATCCAAATTTAGAGTGGAAGCTAATACCATCATGAACTTCTCCCCAACATGCATACGATATATCTCTGTATTCACATCTAGCTGCATGTACATATCAAACTGCTCACTCATTGCTTCAATGCGAGAAACTAACAAAACATTTTTAAGGGTTGTTAGCTAAAAACATCAATAGTATACTTCTGCACATTTCAATGTGAGAAACTAACACAACATATTCAAGGGTTGTTAGCTAAAACCACCAATAATATACTTTCTACACATTTCATGGAATCGTGCAGGCTCTGAGATCATGTCAAAAAGTACTTTGTCTAAGCAAGAAGAGCATTTAAACACGTTATGCATTCTCTCACGGATGACAATTGCTGATTAACTAAGAAAATTAAAGGGTACTACATGAGATAAAATAAAAGAAGAAGGACACAGTGAAAACTTAAGAAAAATCCAAATGAAATGATTTCAAATTCACTCCTACCAAACGAATCCTCCTCTATAGTGCACATTTTCATGCATCAACTCATAAGGTGCACCGGTCATGTGTCCCAGTATTTATGTTTTCATAAGGATTTCAAAATAACTAACCACAGTAATCCTTTTTAACGTTTTATCTATTATTCCTTCATAGAGTCATGCGTTAATTTGATTGGTAGTATTATCCACATTAAATATTTAGGCATACTAGATTGCTCCCAAAATTTCCTAAGTTTACACGTACTCTTCAAGTAACCTTGATTTAATCTCAAGAAAACATTTCCCCAAATCATATGTAGCACCTGTCATGAGATACTTATCAATTGTCAAAGCCTCAAACTGAAGGCCAAGCCAAGCCATGTTTTGCTTTGAATGGAAAATTGGGGCCTAGGCCATTTAATGGGGAAGAACATACAATATTGGGTTTTTTTTTTTTTTAGCTTGGTTTTTTTTTTTTTTTTTTGGGGGGGGGGTTGTTATTTAAGACTTACGCAAATCGAAACGCTCATATCTAAAATCTTTATGGCAGCCAAAAGCATAAACATTACAAACACGAATAATATCTCAAATCTTAACACTAACAAAAATATAAACATTCAAATTCAAAAATAAAAAATAAAAAATATCTCAAATCCCAGCATTTAAAGCAAAAAAAAATCAAAAACCAAATATCGGAAGAGGAGAAAAAACCTCAAACAAAAGCAAAGCTCCAACAATAGTGAATCGTTGAACCAGTAGAAGTAGAGCTTTAGCTCCACCACACACAAAGAAGAAGAGGAGAAAAAGTACACACCTACTGTTTGTAAATCATTATTTTGGAAGAGAAAAAAAAATTTTGTTCTAGTGAGATCGGATCATTTTTCTGGAAGAAAAAGAAGAATAGAAAGAGGACAAAAAGAAGAAGAAGAAGAGGAAAAGAAGAAAAAACCTAGGTGAATTAGATTCTCGGGTTGCGACTTCAACCCTAACGTTGTTCGTCTTCAGCTACCCCTAATTATTAATCAATTTTATTGAAAAAATTTAGGGTTAGACATATATATGGATCAAGTGGCAATCAACTATTATGGCATATCTAATTTTTTTTATCCAAATTGATCAAATCTAACGACCCATAATAGATTCAGAAAGGTAGGTTCGCTTCTCACCTAGACGCGTTTACAAACACTTGAGAGGTGGGGGGGGGGGGAAGGGGACACTGAGGTATAAGCAAATTTGTTGAATCCTTTTCGCCGCCACCCATCCACCTAACCCCAAGCAGCCCAGCCAAGCTCTCTTTCTTTCCCAAGGCCCAAGATTAAAATATTATTTCGAAACGTCCGAAATGTTTCCGTTTTCAAGGAGACCGAAACGAATCAATAATACAATCAAAATTCTAATATTTCGAGATATTTCATAGTGTTTCAAGATATATTATAATATTTCAATGCATTTGTATAATTGTTTCGGAATATTTCAAGATATTTCAAGATATTTTGATATATTTAAACTAATATTCTAGAAAAATATTTCTTAAATTTTTTATTTTTCTCATTATGTTTCTGAAATGAGTCGAAACGTTTCTAAAACACATCGAAATGTTTTCCTTTCCTTGGTGACCGAAACAATACTCCGAAACGAAACTTTGATCCTTACCCAAGGTTATATGGTGTCCGCCACTAATAAAAAATTTCATAATGTCACCACTATTAGTTTTAGTATCCTACATTTGCAAAAGCTAGAAACACATAAATAAAGGAACAAACATATAAAATTCATTGAAAAGTTGTGCTGATAACAAGGAAGTCAATGTAAACTTAAGCTCGGTGGAGGAATAGAGTGGGGTTAAGAGGAGTGAATACTACTGTTGAGAAAGAAGGCACGACACAACATAGCCATATTTGGTGGCGTGCCTTCCAAGGAGTCCAAGTGATGTCAATGATCCATATGGCAAAAAGTGTTTAGATATGTTTAATTTTGTTAAAGAAAGAATATTGTCTACAGGACCCAACATCATGATTGGGGGTCATCCTAAAAGGACACCACATCCTAGCATCATCATGATTCCCCAAGATTACGAAAGCATGATCAGGATATTGCCTACTAGTTCTAGCATATGAGGCCATACTATAAGAAAATCTTTGCTATGTTGTCACCCTTGGCATAGCATTTCTTCTCAACATATCACCATTTTGCAAATTAGAAAATCCATGATTTGACATTATAAACAATTGTCAAGATGATGTATAACATAAATCTTATCCACTTCAATTCCAAGCATTTTGCAACAAAGAGATATCATTAATCATTGGCATACAAATAGACCAAATAACACACACATAAGTGCATGGTCATATGCAGCACAATGAAGATATAAGCTGCAAAACTTTTAAAAAAATACCAAGTTGCATTAATTTCATACAAATAAAAAAAAAAGATAAACTTGTACTATGAACATTTCCAAAAACTTTAACAAAATAAAACTGAAGAATTTATAAAGGACCAGCTAACATTATTTAATTTACCTTTATCGAATTTTTTGCCATCTGGATCCAGCTTATCCACCACAAAGATATCTTCAAACAGAGTTTCAACCATCCTAACAGCAAAGTCACCACTGAACAGAGAATTCCCATCTCCAAACATGAGTATTGCAGAAATTTTTGCTTTGCAGTGGTTCGATGGAGAGAGAGAGAGAGCTAACCTTAGATACTCAGGGGTTCGATCCTCGTCGCCAAATCCAAGAGAGGAGACCAGACAGAGGGAAGCGGTGGGGGACAGCCGAGGTATGTGCTAGAGGATGGAGAGGCGAGAGAGAGACAGATGTGAAAATTGAAATATTGAAATGAATTCAGGGTTAGGGTTAGGGATCCAAGCATAGGTAATTCGGGTTAATAATGGGTTACGCGTGTTAGTATCAACCCGATTAAATACACAAATCAATTTCGGGTTGTTAACACGATTTCGGGTTGATTTCGAATTATTTTACGGGTTCAATTCGGGTTGAGTTTGGGTAGACCCTAAAATAGACTTGTTGTTCTAAATATAATATATATATTACATAATATTCACATAAATTAACAATCAATAACTTCAATCAAGTTTTTAACATAAAAATCATAATCAAAACATAAAAACTATTGCCACCAGTCCACTGCGAGAGAGCCAGAAAGAGGGAGAAATAATTACAAATTCATAAAACATAATTCATATATATATAATTTTTTTTTAATTTATCAGGTTAAACCCGTGAACCGGAGGCCTTAACCTAAGTTCAATTTAAATTAAATTCGAGTTGAAATTTTTTGACTCAAATTCAATTCAAGTATAAAAAATCCTTATCCAAATCTTAATTTTATTTTTTGGGATTGGGCTCTTGTTGAAATCGGTTGCCCGACCTAAGATGCACCCCTAAAGCCATTGAGTGACTGTGTGTGTGAGAGAGAAAGGAGAAGACTTACAGTTACAGAAGGAAGGAGAAGGGAGAGTGATCGAGTGGATGACTGAGCTGAGGAGATCGATTACCTGGGTTCAGTCTTGTACTCCTGTACTGTGCTGCTGTGCGTCTGGGGAAGAGAAGACTGAAGAGGGGTGTTTGTTGATTTAGGGCAAAATTGCCCCCAAACCTAAGGTTTTTCAATTTTTTAATATCAATTAAAATTCGAACTATCCCATTTTAAAAAATCGTCCAGCTCATTGGTTTTATCTAAAAGCGTTCTGTTTTACAGTTTATGAACGATTTCTTTGCACAGGCGGTAGTTTTATTAAACCGAACCGAATTTAGGGACCAGTTAACCACATTCGCAGCAGCCAAACAAAAAGAGATCATCAAGGAAGAAGAAAACGACGGACCTGAAGACTTCGATAGTCCGCAACAGCAGTGCAGTGTGTACAGTTTAACGAACAGAAGGGCTGTTAGAGTGGCAGTTATACTTAATCGGTGTTTGCCTTGTAATATTATCATATGAAGAGGGTTGTTTTAGTAATTTTGAATTCAGAATGCAGCCCATACAAACACCGGCTGGTGAGCTGATTTCATTATCCAATCCACATTCAAAGGAGACCACTGACTTCTGAGTTTTATTAAGCAAAAGAGGAAATGGCTTCATCTCTGCTACTTTCATTAGGTAATAATACAATTATATTCTCTCTCTCTCTCCCTCTTTTCCTTTCCTTTTTCCGTTGAATTAGTCAATTCTCTGAATTAATGTTTATATTTACCTCATTAATCAAACAAAGCCAGAAAGAATTTTTGAAAAACGACTAATCAAGCAATTAATCAAATAAGTAACAAACACCAAAAAAGAAGGAAGAAATAAGAGCCTGGAAGAATGTATAAGATATAATTTTGGTTAGTGGGCATGAATGGACCTTCTAGGACTGTGTTGACTGAAGCTCTCTTTGTCCATTTAATCCTGATTTGCTAGAGTAATGTCCCGAGTTGACTATATTTTTGTTTTCTGTTCATGGCATGTTGTCATTGCTTTGCAATACACAGAAAATAAATTAAAGAATAAAATTGAAGCAATGTTATTATCTTTGACGTGGGAACTATGAATCTACATCCGTTCCAGTTTCAGAAGATATTTTTCCCCTAATGGTAGGCCTTCTTTTCTTTTTTGGTTTTTTCACGGTGGGGGTGATTGTTCTTGTTGCTGCTTTTTACCAATGGAGCATTTATTATTTCACACAAGGATCTTTCCTGAAGCAGACCTTCAGGAAGACATTGTCTGATAAATCAGTTGCCTTTACTTTCCCAGTTCGTGATTCACTACATCTCGTATGAAGTAATGATTGTAGCAACAGTAATATTAGGCTTACCAAGTTTTTCATCCAAGTATTGTGGCATTATCTCCATCATTGAATATTAATAGACTCACTTATTTGATGGTGAAAACTGTGTTTCATCACTTGAGATGGAAAACTTGGTAAAAAATCTTGATCAGCATAACATTGTTGTTGTGGCAACATCACCATTTTGTTCTTGCAATAAAGATCCACTGCATTACATTACCGTTTGGACCTTTGTGGGCTTTCCAAAACATTTTGCTGATCTTATAATCGAAATTGATTTTATATATTTTAGTTGAGTCTTTCTTTGATACTCCTTTTAAACTGAAAAAAAAATAGGTGATCACATTTCTTTTGATAGATTTCAACTGAGATTTAGTGCAAAACAAGCCAAAATAAGTGTTGTCTAACCAATAGGTAAATTTGAAAAGTTTATATGAAATATTTATTTTTGTAAACTTAGATATTTGAAGAAGGTAAAGACAATGGAAAACTGACAGTTTGTTGCCCTTTGTGAACAGCCTCTCATTATTTTCTAGATAGATACAGAAAGGAAACTAACCCAAAAGCAGCTATTAGACTGCTTGTTTTCTGTATTGAATTATTTTCTTGAAAACTAATTCCTGTAAAATGGTGCATATATTTGGGTTCCTAAAGAGAACATTAAACCAAATCATCTGGTTGTCTTATTTAAACCCTCTTGAAGCGAATCTCCAGCCAGGAATCAATCTTTGTGGTGACAAGCGGATCTTGACAGGCGACAGAAACCACTCTGATGAATCAACTGGCTATGCTTCCTCCTGTTTCATTTTTTTTGAAAATGCTCATTGTCTAGATTGCAGCACACTATCATAAAGAAGATGAAGCCTCAGCTTCTGCATTGAATATATACTGACCTATATGTGCTCTACAAAATGTCTTTCTGGTCTTGTTATGTACTTAGTATCTCTTTCATCTTAATTCTTTTTGTTCTTTCTTTTATCTTAATTGTTTTTGTGCTTTGGAGACTATTTTTACTTTTAACTTTCTACGCAATAACTGATCAAATTCCCTCTGATGGACCCCTACTAATTTCTTTCTGTGATACTATATTGCATTTCTCTGATAAATGATATGTACTGGTTTAGGTGCTCTATTTTCTAAAAGTTTGTCAACCGCGGATCACACAACCATTAGAGGCCATAAAGATGCAATAATGTGCTGCTCTAGTTCAAAACATAGAGTACAAACTTCAATGACAATAAAATGTGGGGATGAGTTGGACATAATTAAGCGCAAGAATGTGCTTGGGCTACTTTTTGGTGTTTCAAGCCTCTTGATAGGCTCACTTGATGCTAAGGCAGGTGGCTTGCCCCCAGATCAAAAACCAAGACTCTGTGATGATACTTGTGAGAAAGAGCTTGACAATGTATGGTGAAACTATATAGCTCCCTCATCTGTTGCATTTCTTTCAGCACACCCTCGAAAAAGTTCGCCATATTTCATAAACTGTCACATCTCTTGCTTGATTTTTAAAACATAAACTCAGAGCTCCTAGAGATACTAGAAGTTATGAAGGCAGCATTTGGAATTTCCAATACATGATCCACTGTTTCTTTTGCATCTCTTTTTTATTTTGGTGAATATTAGATTTTCAGAAGTTGCCCCACTACTTATTGCCTCACATCAAGGCAAATTGATTTGCCTTCAAAGATTGAGATCATCAAGCAAATTCCATCATATTCATCCCTTGCATGTTTTAACTTACCTACACATGTACCCATCAATTTTTATTTTTTTTTATCAGATCAATCAATTCATATAGACTTGCATCTTCTTCTTTCCACACTCACAAGCTCATTTTTGTAACTGTTATTGATTTCCTGCATAACTGTTATTTTCTGCACAATACATGCTTCTTGAGATACAATGGAAATTAGACTTCTGTGGATCATACTAGGTGTAATAAATCTTCTTATTGATGAAGGTACCAATGGTAACTACTGACTCCGGTTTGCAGTATAAGGATATCAAAGTTGGCAGAGGCCCTAGTCCCCCAGTTGGTTTTCAGGTATTTTTGTTGATCTCTAAAACTTCTGTTTTTAATCTGCAAACAAAAAAGAATACAGGATGTTGATCATTAATATTCTTTCGTTAATCAAAACAAAAGGTTCTCTCCTATTCTGTTGTTTAATCGTGATAGAATTTGGTACCACCAATGTTTTTGGTTTCTGACTTTAATTTCATTCTCATAGTTGTTATTATATCTAGTAAAATCATGGTTCAAAGTATCAATAGAAACCGATATAATTTGGCGAAGTCGTATCGGGACTGGCACCTTTTCTACACGGACCCGCCCTTTGACTACTCCTAAAATATTGTGGAAATATTTTGTTATAGTTGAGAATGGGATGTGAAAACACCAATGCAGTGGTGAATGACCGCATGAATCGGAATCCACTTAGTCCTTGTGAGTCATAAGTCTCCCTCAACTCGGAAATGTTTCAAACGACTTGATTGAGTCGTCAAAGACATCATCATCAAATCACAGCATATGTGTCTAATACCGTTTCGCAATATCGCAATATAGCCTGAACCTCTCGGTAATCCAAGTTCTTCTACCTAGCATTTTGTGTGATCGTTCAACACAGCCCGTGATGTCGCGACCAATGCATCTCAATGCCCTTTGAGTGAATGATTGATACCTCCCAACATTTAACCTTCAATAATTTATTTCTTCCAATATAATGTCCATGAATATTCCTTTTGTTGCTCAATTTTGACTTAGAAATCATGGGTTCAAACCACAAAATAGCCTCTCTACATACAGAGGAAAGACTGTGGACATCTGACCTTTTCAAAACCCGCAGTGGCAGGAAACTCGTGCACTGGGCAATTCTAATCCTCCTTTTGGTATTGAAATGAATTTCAGTGGCATGCTTTACCACATTTAAATCTAGTAACTACATTTGCTAGCAACAATATAAATGATATAAGAATATATCAACATTATTTTGCTATATGTATGGTTCAAAGTATTGGCCGATACCGATATAAGTAGGCCTAGTCGTATTCGACTTGGCACCTTTCGAGACAATATCGTTAGGCGATACTTATAAATTCTGAATCTTGGCCAAGTTGGCCGAGTTGTCTTCAAGTTAATCCCGAGTTGCCGTGTGAACGTCACCGAATCGGCCAATAAAGTTCCGCAACGCTGCGATATGATCCGGATTTCTCATCATGCTCAATATTTTCTTTTATGTTGTTTCGCCCGATACCGGGTCGCGACACCGTGACCGATATGTCTCAAAATCCTCCAAGTCAATAGTCAATACTGCGACCCTGAACCATGGCTATATATGCAGAGGGGTATGCCATTTTGATGGACTATTTGTTGAAAGTCAAAAGAGACTAAATAGAATTGCTCTGACAGTTTTTTTCTGGCCAAACAAAATTTTCTAACCCATTAATTAAACATGCAATGTTGTGGCAGTTATTGGCCACAAAATTAAAAACTATAATATTTGTAAACCTTTTCTCACAGATCTGAACTATGGTGCCAAATAACCAACAAAAGAATGTATTCCAACAGAAGTATGACATGACAAATCACATAACCTTTTATTCTTCCCTGGGGTTTTCTAGAACTTTTTTTTTCAATACTTTGTCCACAATTATGTTCTTATGTGAAAGTTTCAAATTTTTCTACTTAAACTTTGTGAGCATCAGAATATACTAATTATTAAAGTATCCTGCCTATAGTTGTAAATGCATCATGATTCGTGCATTGGTACGACTATATGAGGGCTTATCTGAAACCCAACATTAACATAATCTGTAACTTTCGTAATAATGTGGTTTAATCTCTTCCATCACTATGGGGAATAGCTGTGCCATTTAACTAAGTGACATGCCTGCCAATATACTGTATGGTAAAGCATCCAACCAAAACCATTTGCCAATGGGAGGAAAAGCCCCACAAGAATAATATGAGTTTGGGAGGTGTTATTTTATTAATATGATAAAAGGTCTAATTTTTTTTTTTATCTTCATATGTTTCTTCTCTTCCTGATAGCTATATCATTCATGGTAACAGGTGGCCGCAAATTATGTTGCCATGGTTCCATCTGGACAAATATTTGACAGGTAATTAGTTAATTATGTTTGGACTACTAGTGAATTGATGTGTGTTCTATTAGCTAACACATCTATTAATTATTGAACTTGAAAAAGTTTATTGTTTATTGCTAAAACGCACGATCCCAATCCTTTTGCCTCCCCATCAATCCAAGATCGGATCCCGATTTTAAGAACCTTAAGAGATAGTTCAATTTTATCATTAGATACAGTAATATCATACTGAGATGTAGAATAGATTGTCTACGACCTAGTCATACTGTGCCTAGGCCAGTTCAACCAAATTTGTGCCACAAGTCCAGTACCATTACTTAAGAAACAAATGAAAAGTTCTTGTTTTCTGTTAAAATTAATACAAATAGGTTACATGCACAAATGTATTTTTTTATTTACTTATTCCCATTGTTTCTTTGATGACAACATCACAGTTCATTGGAGAAAAGCCAGCTTTACATTTTTCGTGTGGGCTCTGGTCAAGTAAGTTGTTAAAAAGTGGCTCCTAAACTCTTTATAGTTATAGATCTCCTACTCTGATCTATATGCAATCAAAAAATATATTTTTGTTAGTCTCAGTCTATGCTAAACTTGTGTAACAGAGCTTGTTTTAGTTGTGCTTGCTTCTGTTTCAATCTACCATTTTATCAAAAATCAGCTTCTGCTTCACCATACGAAAGCAATCTAGCTTTCGCAATGGGATTCAGCTCCCTGCCCCTCCTTGCAGCAATCAGGAATAAGAGACATTGGATCCCATCGAAAAAGGAAAAGAGATAATTTAGAGGCACAATCTTATTTCTTCATGACAAATATCATAGTTTACTAGAAAATTCCATTCCGTCCAATTGGAAGAAATTGGACATTCCCAAATCTGAGAGATTCAACTCATAAAAGTCTTACAAGATCATTAGAAGACTGAGATCTACTATCTTTTAGAGTAGAAGAATTTTTCCTTCCTTTTACCAAGGACTGATGATCAATTTAATGAATACAATAGGTGATCAAGGGACTTGATGAAGGAATTCTAAGCATGAAAGTCGGAGGGAAGCGACGACTCTACATTCCTGGATCAGTAAGTTCTCCTGATATCCAAGGTTCAAATTAAATGAAACATTCAGGTTCTCTGTCCTATTTCCATGTATTGTGGTGGATTATAATGTATGGCATTGCCTTTGCTCCTCCACTAGGCCCTACATGGCAAGGCATGGATGATAAAAAAATAAAAATAAGAGATAAACATGAAAGGAAGAACTAAAAGTATAAACTTCTTGAGTGTTAAGAATCATCGGTGTACGGTGTACCTTCTGCAAACTAAAGAAAAGGATGTCTGAAAATTCAATTACACGACTAAACATAGCCAAATTTCAGATGTTCTGTTCTAATTTTTCTGATTAATCTTATTGCATCTGTAGTTGGATTTTCTAAAGCTTTTCCTGTTTCAAAAGCAGACTCTAATAAAACAAGTATATAGAGGAGCAGCAGCCTGCCAAATTGAGTGTCTAAATCTGGATTTTAGCCGATCAAGCCTTACATTAGAGTTTTAGTATCATTAAAAGTCCTTAGACTTCTCTGCATTCTTGTATATTTTGATTTTGTCGTTTGTTCCCTGAAGCTAGGCTTTTGCCATTTGCAAATTTTGTTCCTAATGTATGATGTGATGGAATTTCATGCTAAAAGCTTCACTGACACTGAATGGTTCTTTTCAATGGAAGATGCTTAGGTATTGCAATTTGGCCAACTTGAAACCTCCATTGTCTTCATCTCTTTACATGTATGTTCTGGCAAGTGAACTGAGTTGCAACACCAAATGGTTAGAATAGAACAAGGCCTAACTTTTAAGTACTTTCCGTCTCTTTTATGTCATTGATCAGTTGGCATTCCCAAAAGGTCTCACTTCAGCTCCTGGAAGGCCAAGAGTGGCTCCCAATAGTCCAGTCGTTTTCGATGTAAGTTTGGAATACATACCAGGCCTCGAAGATGATGAAGAATAAGATCTCTGATTTATTGTCTTCTACCTTCGCTTTACCCCTCTCATTGATCACGGAAGCTGTAAAGGAGGTCCATTACATTAGCACATGTATTATTCATTTCCATTAATTCATTTTTTGTATTCCAAGTCTAAAGCTAGTTTTCCCTGAACTGTTGTTCGTATAAGTTCATGATGAATATCCATGAAATGTTTTTGGTAAAAGAAAGTGAGGTTCAGAATGTTGAAGAGACAGATAGATACACACATGGAGAGTTTATGACAATCCTATCGTGATTTGTCTACTCTATTCTCTCAATATCATTCTTTCAAACTTATTTCTCAAATTATAAATGTTTCTCAATAATTTGATAACACCCTTTCAATTTTGGAACAATTAACGATATTTTGTTTCTTGTTTTCAGAAACGCAAAAATACTAATTCAATTTTTTTATCTTCTAGATTGAAAGCATCATAAATGTTCAATAAATTTAATGAATTTGATTTCTAATAAGATATTAGAGGTTACCAAACTAAATGGATACCGAACCGCAAGACTAATGGCAGAACAAGCTCTAGGGATTAGAAAATGATACCAAGATTGCTCTTTGGCTTTGTTGTTCCTATAGAAAATTGTATGCTCTGTTTGGTAGAAGGAATAGAAAGTCCGAGAGATATACTTTCTATCTTTTAAGGAAGGAAGGAAAATAAGAATAATATATTTTTCTTCCTTTGTATTTAGTAAGATAGATGGTAAGTAAAAATGATTAATTTTTGTGAATTTGATATTGATGAAAAAAATAGAAGCATATAAAAATAATACATACATAATTTACTATTTTATCCTTATATGGGATTAGTGTATATATTATACATCATGTCACTATAGTATATGTGTCATGTGTTTTAACAAACACAAATCATATAAAAATACATTTATTTTTTTATTTGATTTTTAAATAAAAAATAAACATATTAATATACAAACACACACACACACACCGGGTCAAAACATAATATAATTTCGCCAATTTGTATATGAGTTTGAGTTTAGATGTTTAATATAAATAAATAATTAATTAAAGGTTTAAATAATAAATAAAATATTTTTATCCACTGTGAGTATCATTTTTTTCATTTTTTCGCCGAATTTTGGTAAAATTAATTTTAGTGAGTTAAAAAGAAAGTTTATCTATTCACTTTTTATTATTCTATTTTTTTTTTATTAAATATGATATTTTATCTACCCTTCAAATTTTTCATTTTTTAATTTTTTTTATCGTACCAAACGGAAAGTTAAGGAGTGGGCTTGTGTATAGCAAAAGCAGAGAAAGAGAGAATAAACTATTAAGCTGGATTGGAAGAGGAGGGTTTTGGTGTTCACGGAAAGCAATGTTGGAAGTTGGAAGTTGGAAGTTGGAAGTTGGAAGTTGGAAGGGGCTTTGGTGTTCAGGAGAGAGATAGACGTTGAAGGTTGTGTGAGCGAAAGACTATATATATGTCTGTGTGAACTTGGAACAAGTGACTAGGTCAAATATTTTAGAAATTAATTTTATATTTGTATAAGAAATAAACTAATCAAACAAATACAAAGAATATATAAAATTTCAATTTTAAAAAAAATTTTAAAAAAAAAATTTATATGCTACATTTTGATTGGAAAAAAAAAACACAACCATAGTACTGAAATGAGTAGTTTAATCCCGGTTAAAACTAAAAATTCATGTATTGAAAATGTACTTTCAACATAAAAGCGAATTCAGAACGTTATAAAACATCTCCATCCAAAAACAAAAACTTTAAAAGAACAACAATATTTCAGTAAATAAGTCTAAAAGGATGATGTTTTGGGAAAAAAAATAGAAGAATAATTGATCGATTAATTCAATCCATCATCAAATATACTTATACTAGCAATACTCATACCCGGGACTGAAAACTGTATACTGTATACTAAATTATGACAGTGTTTGTGTTGAATTTGTGAAATTTAGGAGATAAAATGCGTAAAATTTTGGGAGAAAAATATATTCCCATAAATTCAAAAATCTAACCATCTTATTATATATATTTTTACTAGTGAGTTGTAGAATAAACAACAAATAACCATAATACAGTAAGCAAGAGTGATTTGATAAAGAGGTCTGGGGATGGGGGTTTCTCAGGCCACGCCATTACACTAACCAGACAAACTAAGATAAATCGAAGTCGCAACACCCAGCGCGTAGACTCCAATCACCGTTCCAACCACTTCTTTGCCGGACTTAGTCAGCGCTCCGACCCCGGCAATCCCAGCAACCCCAATCGGAACACTCTTCAAAACCGCTTTCCCAGCATTCGAAACGACGGCGTTCGTGAACAACTCTCTCGCAAACTCTTTGAATTCGACCGGTCCAAGTACAACCTCACCTTCTTCCTCTTGAACCTGGACTGGCGGCGTGTTCTTGGACCGGCGAATGGTTATGGCCTTGAAGGCTCTGTCGACTTGGGACCGGGACGGAGGTTGTGGGACCCACTTGGTGATGAGAAGGAAATGTAGAGTGGTGAGAGAGCAGTGGAGACGTTCTGAGGCGGAAACGAGTTGATAAGGTTTAACACCTGGTAAGGCGTGTTGGGTCAGGGTTAGGCAGTCTTCGTAGACTGAGTCGCACACCGAGTTGAAGTCGGGTGACTTGAAGAGAGTCGTCGAAACGCGTTTCGATGCAGATAACCCCATATCTCTCCGTGTATTTCTATTAACTTCCTTCCAGTGTTTTGTTCTCTTCGTCCGATCGTCTTGGATATGTAGGGTGTGGGGTTTCTTTTGGTAGGATTTGGTGCGGTTTTGTTTCGATTTTTTCCAACCCTAAAATATTGAATCAAAATCTCATTATACTCTTTAAGACCATAAACTTGTGCTATTACCCAAATTTGAGCAAAAAATAAATTAAAATAAATTAATTTGGTATAAATCTATTCAATGGATAAAAAAAATTTTTGACTTCAATATTTTTTAAAAATTTATGTTTTATCCCAAAAATTATTTTCTTTAATTTTGCTTTCAAAATTTTTTTATTCCATTTTTCTCTTTTGTTTTTAGATGTTGGAAAATGCCTTTACTCACCTTTTAGGCCTGTTGATCCCAAAAACTACACTACTGGAATGTGATTTGGTGATGGTCATGATGTACCTGCAAGGAAGTCGAGGATTGAAGAGACTCCAATGTCAACCCGGGCACGGATCCTATGTTGTTCCTTGATAACAGCAAATGTTGTTGTTAGCTCAAACGACGGCACATCAATACAAGACAAAACAGCCGGCTTCCAAAATTCAAGACCAAACACATCAAATATTAATAAGGAATTTGCTTAAATATGATAAAAAAATTTATCAAGTATTTGGATTAAATCTAATATTATAATTCTAATCCAAGTTTGAATCCAATAGAAAAATTAAAATATTAAATTTAATCAAAATACTTGAAATATTTATTTTAAATATAATTAATTTTAATTTTATTTATTTATTTAATTAATCATATCAAATATCTCAAAATAACATGTCTTACACATATTTGATACACATATCCCGTGAATCAAAAGTTTAACAATTTTGACCAAAAAATAAAATAAAATTTAACACTAAAATTTCTTTATCTCTTAAGAAAACTCAAAGCTAATGTTTTCTTTAATTCTGTAATAAGTTTGATTACATGGATATAAATTGATATTTTTTAAGTCAATTATATCATATTTTGTGGATTTATATTTAAATATACTTATATTTATTAATATTTTGATCTTATTCGAGATGTGTATGTTTGTGTGTTAAAAGGGAAGTAGTATCAATTCCCTATTCTATAAGAATCTATGAAATTGAATTAAAATTTAGATTTTATTATTATTCAATTGAACGATTTTGTTCGGATCAAATAGATTATTTCAATTGAGTTCAAATATAGATTATTCAAAAGAAAATATTTCAAGTATTTTGATTAAATTTAAGATTATAATTTTTCTATTGGATTCAAACTTGGATTAGAATTATAATATTAGATTTAATCCAAATATTTGATAAATTTTTGTATCATAGTTAAGCAAAATCCTTATTAATATTCGTTGTGTTTGGTCTTGAATTTTGGGAGCCAGTTGTTTTGTCTTGTGATGATGCGGTGTCGTTTGAGCTAACAACAACATTTGTTGTTATCAAGGAACAACAAAGGATTTGTGCCCATGTCGACCCTCCAATGATTAAGTCAGTAAGAAGGTAGAGAATTAAATGGTATTTAGGTGAGAGGAATTACTTACTTAATTCTTGGCTTGTCTATCCTTTTTGTAGGCTGAGCAAATTACACCGTTGTAAATCTCTTAGCTACTTTTCAAAAGGAGTGGAAGGAAAGGTGAAACTTCCCTCCAAGAGTATCTCAATTGGTGTAAGCTATTCTCATGGGATATAGGCTAGTTAGCAGTTATAGAAGCCCTCTTATGGGGGAGCTCCACGTGCTCAGCTTGCTCCCATGTGCCTGCCTCGTGCCTATTTCATAATCATCAGTTGTCCCCTAGTTCAAACCAATAGAGACTTGCGGCGTATATTGATTACATCTACCCATTAGAGACCTTAAGAGTAGTACTAACTCCTTGAACATGCAATCGTCAAAGAGCTGTTGTGGGCCTGGTGTGTAAGAGTTTTTATTCCTTGCTCGAACTCATCTTCAAGAGCTTTAAGAAATTCGATACGTCTTTTCCTCTTTGTCTCTATCCCTTTTTACTCTTTGATTCCATTACGACTCTTCACTCTAGAGCATAGGTTGGGGCCCTACCTTCCAATTCCATTTTTACCATTTTTGCTTTTTGAGGTAGAAGAATTCCAATCCTGACTTTACAGAGCTTTTTGTGAGTGAATCTACTAGCGTTAAGCTTAAATACATGTTTGAATTTTTCCTTTCCTTAGTTGCTAATAGACTTTATCGCACCCTTCCTCCGAATTTATACATTAACCATTGTAGTTTTTCGATTATGGACGTTGACTTGATCAATCCCCTTCTGAAGTCATTCTGGCACTTGTGGCTCAAGAGGATGCGGTTAATGAGGATTCTGACTCAATCTTGGAGATCGGTTCCTCCTCCCTCAAAGTTTGTGGGGATAAGAATTATTATAGTTATTTTAACGAGGGTTCCCTTCAATACCTTAGGACCTCATACTAGATCCCTGATACAGTGCACTTGCGGGTCCCTTCCAATGGCGAGACCGTTAATTCGTTCTTCCCCGATGAGACTTTTTTGACGAATCCATTCTAGAGGTTAGGCTTCGCTTTCCATTACCTAGATATATCAGGGAGGCACTCTACCTCTTAAACCTTGCTCCTGCTCCGCTAACCCCAAATAGTTGGGGCTTTTTGATTGGTATGGGTGTCATCTGGGCCAAAGCGAACGACGCTGGTGTACAACCTACCTTTGTTGAGCTTATGCACTGTTACAAACTCACCTCTTGCTCTGGGCAGGGCTTAGGGTGGTTTTATTTTTCAAAAAGAGAAGGTATGACCCTTTTTACGGGCTACTCTTCAAATGTGAAGGAGTGGAAGGACAAAGTCTTCTTCGTCTCCGGCTCCAACTGGAAATTTAGACCTTCTGAAGTCCTTTTGACCAGTTCTTTTAGGGGTTTTCGCATCTGGGAATCTCTTACCCCTCTTCATAGTAAGTAGGTTTCTTCTTATACAACTTCTTCATGTGATATGCCTATTCTTCAAACTTCCATTTCTTACCTCATTGTGATGTAGGTAAATCAAATCCCTTGACTCCTGAATAGAGGGCTCAGGTCAAAAAGGAGCTTGACTAGCCTACCAAGGATCTTTTTGAGCTTATGAGTGATCAAGATCTCTGTGAGTGTCTTGGGTCCTCCTCTAAGCAGTTTTGACCCTTCGATCACAACACCCTCTGTTCCTTAAATTGCAATCTATCTTGATCTAATCAAGCTCTAACTTGTGGTTTTCTAGCTATGCCCCCAAAATTTATTGACATGAAGTCCCTGCAAGCGGTTGTAACTAGGAGGGCTTATGAAACTAGCCCTCTTTCTCAAAAGAGAATGTTCTTCCCTCGAGCTAAGGGGGTGTCCTTGAGCTGTACTACTTCGCTAGTATCTCCATCATCTTTTCACGCTACGCTTGGAGATGTTGTCATTCCAAGTGCTAATGCTGGACTAGACAAGGCTTCTTCGAGATTGTTGGAGACCACACTTTCTGCTTCCAAGGGAAAAAACAAGAACTTAGAAGTTGTTGAGGAGAAAGGCCGTTATGTACCCTCTCCCCTTGTGAGTCCATAAGTACTTCTTAATTCTTGTGGGACAATTTGGAGGACATTATAACGTGGCTTCATCAATTTGTTCATAAGGATGAAGTGCAAGCCACCTTTGACCTAGGGCCATCCTAGGTAACCAATAATTTGGCCCTAAATGTTGGGAAGGTTAGACTTTTAATTATGCTAGGGATATTCCTTCCTCTTTGTTGGTTCTAACCTCTTTTATCATCTTCCCAGCTTCCCATTCTCACTACGAGTCTCTCATACTCTACTTTGGTTGAAAAGAAAGCTTGTTGTGAAGAGGAGCTCCTGTCCCTTCAATCTCAACTAGAGTTGAAGAAGATGGAGCTATTAGCTTGAGGATATGCCTTTCATTTCATGAAAGAGGGTGAGAAAGTCACTATCAAATTTCTACCACTGAGAAGGATAAGGACAGGGCCTTAAGGCATAAGGACAAGCAATTGGCTATATTTAATAGCACCATGGTTGAGCTCTCTAAGCTTTCTATAAGGAATAAAAGCCTAGAAGGTGATAAGGAAACCATCTTTCAGAGGACTCTAGAGCTTTCCTTTTTAGTATGGCAAAAGGAGCTTGAAATCAAATCTGCTAGGGTTTCAGTTGTGTCCAAATTCAAAGACTCAAAGAAGTTCAAGGAGGAGTTGCTAGAGTATTATGTCAATGAGTTTGATGATTTTAAGAAGCGTGCCTAGGAAAGGTTCCCAGATTTGGACTTCTCCTTATTCAAACCTGGTGACGATACAATGCTGGTGATTGTTGATGACAAAAAGGAGGGTGATGGTGAAGAGGTATGTAGCATGTCTTTGACAAAAATGGGGGAAGAGCTGGCTTTGACTTGTACCAAAGACCTTTCTAATGTAACTGAAAATCCTATGGAGGCAACTGCTCACTCCTCGGAGGAGGTTGATGCCACTGCCTTAGCTTCACCTTTAGGAGAAACAACCTAATTCATGTTCCACTTTTCTTGTAACTCTATGGATATTTTAATGAGAAGTTTGCTACAATTTTTACTTTTTGCCTTATCTTGATTTGCATGTCTAGCCTCAAATCTAAATGATTCGTGGTTGATCCATGTTGCATACAAGGTTTAAGGCCTTTACTTTGGGTCCAGCTTAGATGGGCCCATGTTTGTAAAGGAGTATTAGGTTCTTTTTCTAATGATGTTTGAAACGACGTGTGAATGATAGTTACACTTTGTCTTAACTATTACGTTGTCAAGTGAAATGGATGATGTTGTTTCATGTCCACGATGCCTTGAACATAGGACATCCACCCTTCCAGATATAGGTACCTTGCATTTAAAACCATTGAAGGAAAAAGGAACCACTACTATTTAAGCACCTCCAGAACTTTGCATGCTTCACCATTTTACTCAAATTTTTTGTGTTTTGTTTTTCTTTTTACTCATGGATGCTCAGAACGAATAGAATAAAGCCTTTAGAAGATGAGAACTTCTCCATGTGGAACCAAAGTGGGCTGACCTCCTGGTTTCCAACGTTATGACAATGGTCCAGCTGTTGGTGATTCAAGAATGGTACGGCTTTCCTGCTATGAC